TCGAACGAAAATCTCGGCAGTGCCAAGGAGTCGCGTGCGTTCCCGTCGTCCCCAGAAGATCGACCAAGTAACCTGTCTTTAAAGTTCATGGTAAGTAACGAGCGTTGAAATTGAACGAATGATAAGCCCAAAGAGCGATGATAGCGATTGTGATGAGTGTTACCTTTTCTTGTTACAGGGGCAGATCGTCTGCATATAGTATCGAGACCTTCTTGCCAAATCTCACCAATTGAGGCAGTGTCAAAGAGGCGCTCACCAAGAGGAGGCTGTTCACCGTGCCAAAAGCACTATACGGCCAAATGACCTCAAAGTACAGTATCACCGGTGTAGCGTGAATGCCACGATCCAAGAATTTGGCTTCGAGATGCCCAGGTTCAGGTTAATAGGGCTGCGGTGAGACCCTTGCTGAGGATGTGATCAAGAATAGAAAACTGTCGCGTGGGCGCACGGTAGCCACGACATCTCAGGTCCACCATAGCCAATAACGAGGATGCGGCTACTGCCACGAGACGGTAAGCTTTGTTCCGGCGGAGACTGATCAACGACAGCAGCCTTCTTTGTAGACGTCAGCTACCTGGCTGTGCTGGGTTCTTCTTGCCAAGCAGGTACAGCTTGGTTATTCGCTAGACCGCTTGGTGAAGACACATGCAATCGCCGCGATTGGCCGAAATCGAGACCTCAAGAACAAAGTGGGTCAGTCAAGAACTTTGGGTATGCGGGATTAATACTAATCAAGATATCAAGAAAAGCCAACTATGACTTAGGACTATACACTTGGTAGTACGAATGCTAGCAGGGCTGTGTTGTAGTAGTCGTCATTTCCGGCTATGCCACGATACCATGAGCTAGGAAGTGCGGCATTCATGTCTCATGAATGTGTGAGTACTTGCAGTTTCAATGACGTTGATGCCACGGTTTTGAGGCTGGAAGTAACACCTCAGGTGGCGTTTCCAAGTGATGCACCGGAAATAGCTCTACGGGCTATGTCGCGTAGGTCTATCGTGAGAGCGTGCAACTCCAGACGAGCAGAGTCTGGGACCAAGATATAAGGACGTCGTAGGTCCATATGATGACGGTATCCAATCAGGCATATCGATTGACGCACGCTCGCTCTACAATACCACGTTCTCACGTTCGCTTTTTGGTTTCGACATCATTCGATCAACATCCTGTCTCATTAGCATTATCCGTGATCATCTACTCATCTTTACTCTCTTCGAATCAAATATGCTCGCCAGCGTGTCAGTAAGCAAGGAGCCATGTGCCCACATTGCTCCGACCGCGACGACAACGCTCGAACCGCACCTCACACGACTCCTTTCGTTGAAGACATTCGACTTGCCGCAACAGCAAGCAGACGACCTCACGCACTCGGCGTCGGCGGTTCTACCCACTCCTACGTCAGACATTCTGGGCGGACATCCACTGAGGATTTTGGTGGCACCGTCAGGGTTCAAAGAAAGTCTAGGCCCAGAACACGTGGCTCATGCGATCGAGGCAGGCATCCGAAGGGTGCTCGATCGCAGTTCTGTTATCCTTCGCAAACTTCCTCTGCATGATGGTGGAGAGGGCTTTGCTCGTGCATTGGTAGCGTCCCATGGCGGATTTATCGTTGACGTACCAGTCACCGGCCCTACTGGATCGGCAGTCGAATCGCACCTTGGTTTTATTGGCAAGGACAAGAAGACGGCTGTGTTGGATATGGCGGCAGCGGCAGGCCTCCGCTTGGTCCCGAAAGATGAACGCGACCCAACGATCACCACTACTTATGGGGTGGGACAGCTTATCAAGAGAGCGCTCGATGCAGGGTCCACAAAGATCATCATTGGATGTGGAGATTCGGGAACCTCGGACGGAGGAGCAGGAATGCTCCAGGCTCTTGGTGTCCGTTTACTTGATGAAGATGGCAAGGAGTTGCCCAGGGCCGGCGGTGGTCGATCGTTAGCACGCCTAGCCAGCATCTGCTGGGCTGATGTGCATCCTCGACTACAAAAGAATGCTGGTAAGCCACCCACGTCTCGGTTCCAAACCAGTTTTAACGTTGATCCAGTTGAGAAGGTCCAGATAGAGGCCGTGTGCAACACCAAGAATGTGCTCTGTGGTTCCAAAGGAGTCGCGCGAGTGTATGGACCGCAGAAGGGAGCTACGCCTGCTCAAGTCGAAATGCTCGCATCATCGCTTGAACGGCTGGCGCAGGTTGCTCAATCGACGCTTGATGAGGATATCTCTCAGACCCCAGGCAGCGGTGCCAGTGGAGGCCTCGGAGCAGGTTTGATGTTGCTCGGCGCTACATTGCGTGCCCGCGCCGAAGCCATCAACGAGTACTTTGAATTCGACCGGGTTTTCGCGAACCAGTGGGATTTCGTCATTACGGCGGAGGGCGCTCTGGATTTCCAGTCGCCAAATGGGAAGGTATGCAATCTTTTATCGTCGTTCATCCATCAGACCGCTGACGAAGACAGATGACGACGGAGATTGCTCGTCGCGCGAAGCGGAACGGGGCGCAGGTGGTTGCGCTAGCTGGTACCATCGGGGAAGGAGCAGACGGCTGCTATGGTGCAGGCATCAAAGCCTTCACGAGCATCCTCAGGGGGCCAGTAACCCTGGAACAGGCAATCGTTCAGACTGAGGTATTGGTCGAAGACGGCGCCGAGAAAGTGATGCGCATGATCATGGTAGGGTTGGCTCTTGGGCGACACCGCTGAAGGGGTGCACCGCCCTGAACAAGAGATTTGGGGCCTTGGTACGGCCGCGATGGCGCTGCCACCGGCATTAGGGCTCACATACAGTTTACTAGATGTTTTTAGCAAGCAATAACGAAGTAATGATGAACGAATGTTAATGGTACCAAAGTGAGGGGGTTGGTAGAGATAGCGTTCCATCTCCTTTCGGTTGAAAGTGCTCTTCGCACTAGACTAGCGTGAACGTCATCGCTGCCCATGTGCCCAGCACGTGCATGCAGGTGCAATCTGGAGTGCAAGTATTGAAGAAACTCGGTTTCACAGTGGACCTGTCAAATATGTGAGGAACGCGCAGATTCAAAAGGCTATATCATCGCTTTCTGGTATAATAGACCTATCACGATATCCAATCCGCCGGGCTCTTCAGCCCCTTCTCCTTATGCACCCCCTCCGTCTCCCTCGCCTTCACATTAACACTCTCCATCTCAAATCCTGCAACCTTCTTATAGACCCTACCGATCTCCTCCAGCTCATCCTTAGGAATAACATCATACACATTCTTAAACCCATCGGGCGCCCTCTCCTCCGCAAGCTGCAAGACATGATCCGGCCCATTCGCACGGTTCGCCATAACGATCTTAGCGGTAGGCGGTAACCTCTCCTGTTCGTATGCCTTCAGCGCGGCTGGAATATCAGAAGTGTTGCTGGAGAGGTGTTTAGCGAGCGTTTCCGCGTCGATGATGGCTTGTGATGCGCCGTTTGAACCGATGGGGTACATGGCGTGTGCTGCGTCGCCCATGAGAGTAAGACGACCGAAGGACCAGGCTTCTACGGGATCGCGATCCGACATGGGGAATTCGAAGACTTTCTCTGTGTTGTCGATCAGGTCTTTCATTTCCAGGCCGCCACATCTCCAGGTCTCAAAGGGTCCGGCAAAGACGTCTTTCCTGACGGCTTTGGTCCAGTCGGTTTTTGGGGGTGTGAGGTCCGTGTCGTCCTTGTCGCGGGTGCGTAGTTCTGCGATCCAGTTGACTAAACTTTTGCCTTTTGCAGCTGCTCGTGCGCTGATGGGGTATGCAATGAACTTCTGGTCGGCGTGACCTGCCCACACCATGCTTGCGCCTGTGAGGTACTGGTCGCGCTCGATGCAGCCGCGCCAGAGCATGCGTCCCGAAAAGCGTGGTGGGCCTTCGCCAGGGTAGAGAAGCCGTCTCGCGGCGGAATTGATGCCATCAGCAGCGATCAGAACGTCGCCTGTCACGCTTGATTCGTCCACGGGGGCGCCATCCCTTCGGTGCGCGAAGCGCGCTGTGATGCTCTCGTCATTTTGATCGAACCCCGTCAGTGCATGGTTCAAATGTAGAGCATCGTTGCCAAGGCGTTCTTTCACGGCGCTTAGAAGCAACATCTGGAATTCTCCACGATGGATCGAGAATTGAGGCACTTCATAGCCCGCATTCATCCCTCTTGGCTCGCTCAGAATGGAATCTCCATGACGATTGTAGAAGTTCAACTCTCCCGTTTTGATGCCAGTCTTTTCCAGCGCCTCGAGCAGACCCAGATTCCGCAGAATCAGTACTGCAGACGGTTGAACATTGATACCGACACCGAGTGTGGTGAGCGTTGATGCTGTCTCATAGATCTGAACGTCGCTGAAACCCGCGGCATGGAGTGCTAGCGCGGTGGTCAGTCCGCCGATACCGGCCCCTGCGATGAGGATCTTTGGTTGCGTGTCGGAGTACAAGAACGGCATGTTAGGAACAACGCTTTGAGGATGAGAAGATAGTCAGAAAAGTACGATCTTGCAGTCGCTGCGTAACGAACTATATTCACTAAGAAGTCGGTCCTATCCCGTGTCTTTGTGGAGGGATTACGTTAGAAGAGTCCCCGACCATACTGCCGAATTCAGCTGCCGCGGGTTGAATAAGGCCGCAGGACAATATTCACCAGCATTGCTTGTCCCGTCATATTATCCGCCTCGTCAGTTTCTGGCTTTCGCGTGGTCTTTGTGTGGAGTGTGGGGAAGACAAAGGGTCTAATTGTCTAGTCGCCGTTGCTCGGCCGAGATCGCTTCGTAGGTCGCTCTCGCAAGCCTTCAATGGGTTAGTAGCAGATGTACCGCAGGACGACTTGACACTCTACCCAAGAGATGATTTACGTGGATCAGTGAATTAACTGGAAGTAGGTTGATGAAGACAAGAGAATATTATTAGCAATTTATACTATCTAGACAACATGGCCGTCGCGAGACTTCCGTCGTCAACATGACTTTTGATTGATCTGACACCTTGGTCCACGATCCTCGTCCATCTCACTCAACTAAGGAGCGTAATCTGCATTGTCGTCCTTGTCGTATCTGACGTACTTGACCTTGTCCATGCCATGCGTAGCACGAAGGTGACCTGGAGAGAAACAAGAAATCAGCAAAGCTCTTTTGTATTTCCACATTGACGGTACTTACAGTTCTCGGGGAATGAACAATATCCATGGTCGCGCTCAAGAGCACATTGATGACCCAAATCTGAAGCCGTAATGTTAGCATTACCGCAGATCCATGATACGATGAGGTTGAAAGCGATCGTGGCGTGAGGGCCTCTTATACATATGTACTTACAACAGTCAATGTTCTCGCAGCCTTTGTTCTTGCAAGCCAAGCTGCGCGTCTTGTAGCGCAAGGCATTCAGCTCAGCGGGGGTAAGCTTCGGCTCGTGTTGGAAATTGCAGAATTTTCCATTCTCGCAGTAGCCACCAAGATGCCAATGATTACACATCTTCTTACCAACTTTCTTCATGCGTGCTTCGAGCGAAGCTGCGGCAGCAGGATCTTTCGATGGCAGTGGCTCATCCAATCTCTGACCAGCTTTGTTGTAATAAGCGTATTTCTTCTTAGTGTTTTTCTTAGTAGCGGCCGCAGTAGGTGCGATGGAAATGTTGCCGTTTTCAGGAGCACCGGCTTTGCCAACGGTGGCTGATGATTCGTTAGCAATGCTTGTAACGAGATTGATGCGGAGAGGCTATATTGCTTACCCCACCAAGAGTCACCATTTGACTCGCCAGCTGCGGCAGCGGATACAGGGGTTACGCTAGGCGAAGGAGACGTGACGGAAGCTCTCGGAGTGAACGTAGGTGATGATGTGTTGGTGTTGTTGGTGACTGAACGTGGGAGTGGTTGTACTGCTGCCTGTACCGGCGACTGTACAGAAAATTGACCGAAGCCATTCACTGGAGGCTGGTAGTCAGGGAGGGGCTCGCTCTTGAAGACGTCGTCGAAACGAGTACGCTTGAAGTTGGCTAAATCCGCGAAGCCGCGGTAGGCAGGCGTGGTCTCGAGAAGTGTGATGCGACTGGATTTGGCGGTATCATGTTTGAAGTGTTCGAGGTTTAGTAGGTAACCTGCGTCGTGGCAACCACCGAAGACGATATGACGGCAGGTGGGATTGTCGCTAAAGGTACGAAGCATCTCTGCAGAACATTGTTAGTATCAGTCAATTTGATCAGGAGAGACGCAATACCCTTAATCTTGTGATCGGCTCTTTCTTTTCCTTGGCCGACATCGATTATACTAAATAAGGGCTGATTGACGCTGAAGCGTTGCGCAAAAGCTCGTAGATCCTGAGGCGACCGAAGAAGGCCGACCGACGCCAACTTCTGTGCAAGCTTATCGAGACTTAGATAGACCTGAACCATAATGGGCCAGCTGCCTGAGCTGTTGTACAACGAAGCAACATGGTCGCGAATTGCATGATACAGGCGGGAAGCAGCCTCTGAACCTCCATCACCACTAGCGCCTTGGAGTAACGCATCTTGAATCTGCATATTGATAATCAGCAATCAAATCTTTCGGTTGTATGTCCGTGTCGCCATATCCTGTGCATGTGGCCAACCACATGTGGGCCAGGATAGATGTAAAGTCGCCACAGGACAATCATGAACTTCAGGGACTCGGAAATACTTACGATAGCTCCATCCCCATCAATTAGTGCCAACACAAATGAACTTGCTTCCTGTAGTTAAAGTCAGCACGCGAATTGGCAAGGCTGACATAACAGCGAGTAACGAACCAGCTGACGTGTGTAATCTCCCACCAAAGCCTGCTTCTCATCCACAGTTCTCTGATAATTCCTCCTGATATCTCTTTCACTCAAATAGTCATTCTTCAAGTTGGCGTGCTCTTCGGACAATTCCCGATACTTTGCTAGAATTTCCTATTGATTGATTAGTATTTGTCGCGCGGGCGCACACGCGACTCAGCGACACGTACCGTAACAAACTGCTCTCTGGCCTCATCAGACGCGCGAAAAGATTGCATCTGATGAATGAGCCGATCGTATTCATTGTAGCTCGACATAGTGGCGAAATTGTTATGGCGAACAACAGATTGTCCAACCGTGGTTCGGTGCGGGTAGGATGAGCTGAAGGCAGCACTCCTGGGTGATGAACTTAGCGGGCGTGGAAGAGGGTCCGGGCGGGAAGTCTAGACCTGAACGGTGTAGGGCGGCCGATCACGTCTCCAGGGCTATTCCCCCAGGAAGTTGCGATCTAACGGGACTGAAACCGAGACCAAGATTTGGATAAGCAGAGACGTGGAGTGCCTAGAATCTCCTCAAGATTTGCATCTGTGATGTTGGTAGATTTGTAGCAAACGTTTCGTTCCTCGCAACATGGCGCAGCCCTTTTCGTGCATGAGAGCTGCTGCGGTGGGCCATGGGAGGCACAGGCGAGCGTATCGCCTTCTGCCCTCTTCTGTAACACGAAACATTATTGACAGCACACAGCCCGATGGCATGATAATAAGAGATTGTTATGGATCTCGTAGAACGGTTACTGGTGCCCTCATTGATTATTAGGTAGCATTTTGTCAGCAAACAGAGGAGTGACAAAGGCAATATGAACGTAACCAACGATGGGTATCGCACAACAAGTGAGCGCAGCTTATGCGCTGAGATTGCAATTCAATGGACCCATAAGTTATGTATCTATATCGCTTGGTAAATGTTCATTCGCGCCTCCCCCTCCTGCTCAGCCGCTGCTGAACGAAGGCTGAGCTTCGCCAACGTTCGGAAGCCATTCCGAGAGCCTGCACCTTGGTCGCAAAACATCAGGACCGGCAAGCACGAAAGCCCATTGGGTACATTTGAAGAACATGTCGACATAGCTGTAATGATCACTATGACTAATTCAAGCCAGCTGGCAGGTTGACTTGCATCTACAAAAAGTGTCCTCGCATTGCTCGGTCTCGGCACAATTCCGCATCTGATGTCAGCATTTACGTTCTCGCAGTCCAACCACAACCCCACAATGACGCCAAACACGCTGCATGGAACACGCCGAGCGGCAATGGCACGTCAACCTGACATGGTGCTCTCTTCCCCTCGTTATAGTGGACTGACAACGCAGCCATTGCAACTGCATGCTTCGCACCACCTTTCGACCTCTCCTTAGCCCCCGTAGCTTCCTACAGCTCTCTATACACCATACCCAAAGCCCAATTGCGCTTCGACGCTACACTACCGCCATGTCCGCGAACAAGAAGGCGCGCACCCAGCCTCCATATGAGTTGCTGTACTGGCCCGGTATCCCCGGACGTGGAGAGTTCATCCGCCTGGCGTTCGAAGCAGCGGGCGTCAACTACAAGGACGTCGCCAACGAGTCGGAAGATGGTACGCACCTTGCGCATTCATTGCATCAGATACATGTATAACTAACAACAAATTCAGGCATGAAAGTCATCAGCTCCCTCACGGACCAATCGTCCACAGGCTCCGACGGCAACCCACCCACCTTCGCCCCACCCGCCCTGCGCATTCCCGGCGAGGGCAAGAACGGCGGCGCGCTGTTGATCTACCAGACACCCTCCATCCTCGCCTACCTCGGTGATAAGCTCGGCCTCAGCGGCGCAGACGAGGCAGAGAAGGCGTGGATCCTGTCGCACACGCTCACGGCGCTGGACCTCAACAATGAAGCCCACGACACGCACCACCCCATCGCGGTTGCGAAATACTACGAGGATCAGAAGGAGGAGTCGATGAAGAAGGCGACAGACTTCCGCGAGAACCGCATTCCCAAGTTCTTGGGCTTCTTCGAGCGCGTACTCAAGGGCAACGAGGCGCAGGGACAGGGCAAGTTCCTTGTTGGGGATAGTCTGAGCTATGCTGATACTACTGTCTGGCATGTGCTGAGTGGGTTGGAGTTTGCATTCCCAAAGGAAATAGCAGCGAGGAAGAAGGACTACCCGACCTTGTTCGGAGCCTTCTATGATAACGTCAAGGAGACTAAGGGAATCAAGGAGTACCTCGGGAGCGAGAGACGTAAGCCCTTCAGCATGGGTGTGTTCAGGCATTACCCTGAGCTGGACAGGCAGTAGATAGTACCATGGTCAGGGCAAAGAAAGCCATCACGAACAGTAAAAGAAATCAATTGCAAATGGTATCTTGAAGGGGTGCCTAATACAGGCTCATGTCATCTCATTCTCATTCCTTTTTGATGCCGGTACATGACGCATAACCGAAGCCCTGCCGTACTCCTGACCCATGAAGATATAACGAGATCGACCAAACCCAACGAACCGCCTAGGTCTAGTAGTCGGTCTGCTGACTCTGGGGGAACTCGAAGTTGACGCCCTTGCCAGTGAGGCGCTTGTAGACCTCGCTGTAGGTGTCGAGCCTGTAGTCAACACCGCCGCGCTCCTTCTCGTCAAGGACAACCTTGAGGATCTTGCTGCCGTCCTCGCGGGTACGGAGACGCTTGCCGACAATCTCGACGGGATAGACGAGGTCGGTCAGGATGGCGTCGTGGACAGCGGTGAGAGTCCGGGATTGGGGACGCTTCTGGGTCTGGGTGGTGCGCGAGCGGTTGGAGCGCTTGGGGCGGGGAAGAATGCGGCGGGAAGCAACGATCAGGACGTGGCGGTCGGAGAACTTCTTCTCAAGCTCACGGGTGAGACTAGGCACCGTTAGTATACGAATTGCTTAGATTCAAGAGCATAACATACCGCTGCTGGGCCTTGTGCCATCCGGACAGAAGGGGAACAGGGACGAAGATGACAATAGCCTTGCGTCCGTGGCCAACCTCGATCTAAGAATCCTGGTGTCAGCATGATGTTGCTGCCCAGTGCCCACCGCCTCTTCATTTATGGGTGTGTGTAGGCGACGCTCGAGAGCGCATCGTGGTGTTCGGGTTTTCATACCTCGCGAGCAGAGACGAACTGGAGAGGGCGCAGAGAAGCCTTCAGGTCGGGGACGTTGTTCTCGAGGTCAGTCAACGCCTGTCACAAATGTTAGCTGTGGTCATCAGTGTGCAATTGACGGGTGAACTTGCGCTGGCGATGCTGGTCTCGATCTCAGAGGGGTTCTGCCTCGAGGGGCTGTTGGGCGCGATCTTGTTCAGCGAGTTGGCGGACATTTTGGCGGCGTGATGTCGAGCTGGTCGGAGTCTGAAAGTTCGAGGTGTCGCTCGTGAGCTGAGAATTAGAGACGGCAGGTGTGCTTCAAGCGAGGCGCTAGTCTACTTTGAGTGACTAGCGTGAACGCTGGATCGCGGACCATCACCAATGATGCGCTTTCACTCTCGCATCGTCTTCGCATCCATCCACAAACGTTCTCACATTTTTGTGGCAAACAGACAAGCTGGTTTTCTCAGCGTGGATAGAACTTCAGACGGTAGTTGTCGTTGATCGATGGAATCGCTGAAGGCAGTGCCCACGAAGCGAGGTACACAACCTCCATGGCTCATGCACGAGACTGATGGTAAAGCTTCTCTTCTGTATTATTACTCATATTGAGTGTCTATAGCACATATGATTCTGTTGGTCATTGTTCCTACCAACGAAGGTAATTTGTCCTTTTTGGATAATTGTTCACCTGATCATCTACGTATACACCAGGAAGAACGCGACGATACCAAAGACAACTTTCGCTAAAACGCCAACCATCTAGTGTTGTTCTACTGACATCTCTTTCCAGCTCATTTCTCTTCCAGCACGCTCCTACAGTCTGCCTGCGCCACGATCTGGTCCCGTATCTCCTCCATCGCATCCCAGCGCTTGCTTGCCTCCTTCTTACCCGTGCGCGTCTTCATCATCTCAACATATTGAGAATGACGCTCGTCAACTATTTGACAGACCCGTCGGACCGTACCGGTACCACGCGGCTGATTCGCGCCACCGTACACTGCACCACGTACAATTCCCAGCGCACCCAGGCCATCGAGACGATCGGCATCTTGCACGATCTGGAGCGCAGGATACGCCATGCACTGCTGGGCAATGAGTTCGGGTTTGCGCAACTCACGTGTGAAAGAGACCAGAGATGCAATGTGTGTCGCAGGACCCCAAATGTAGGGTGGGCATTCTGGGGCAGCTTTTTTTATGAATGCTTCGATGGCGTCTCTCTGCCGCACCTGTTTGTCCTGGTCTGTCACCTCCCTCTGTAGCTCAACGGTCAGTTCGTCAGTCAGGTACTTGTCATCCGCGACATCGTGTACCAGAGCCGCGACGTAGATGACTAGGGGGTCGATGTTGCGGAACTCCTCGCGATGCTTCTCGGCGCTCCAGATGTGATGCGCGTTGAGGACGACTCGCTGGATGTGCTCGTAATCGTGTGAAGGATCATAGTCTGATGAGTTCATCAGAGTTCTGACGGCAAGGTTGAGCTTCTCAAACCAGAACTTGTTCTTTTCGGCTATCATGGTACCGCTCATGAGCTTGTCCAGGGACAGGAGCCGAGTGTCGCGCTCATCGTTTCGACGTTGGGGAGCGCTCTTGACTGAGCTGAATGGCGACGACGAATGGGAAGAAAAGGCTTCGTCCGCAATCGCCGACAACGTCTCGGTGGCGGCCTTGGCCGGTCTTGTGGAGTTCCCGAAGCTGGAAAGCCGACGATGGATGCCCTTGAACACTTGGTCCACCTTACTGGTTCTGGGGCTGTTCTCAGACATGGTGGGTGGAACGATGTTCGTGGGGTTGAATTGCATAAGGTTGTTGATCTTGAGACTCGATCTCGAGCGCTGATAGGACGTGTTGAGTTGATAGTTAATGGTAGTGGGTAATCGATGGTGTAGTAAAGTCAGCGAGGGGCGTACCATTTTATCGAAGTGGGAGAGAGATGTTGCTTGTGCACTAGAAAAAACGGGATTACAGTGCGCCTTCACTCCCCTTCACGCTAGATCATGGACTAGTTCTTGTTAAGTGAATGCGGCTCTCCTGCTGCTGTGAATTGACCTGTGAAGATTTTTCCTTGTGTCGAGGCGACCTACGTGGTCTCCAAATACGTTGACATGTCACCACTTCAATTCAAGGTTACAAGACTTACATCAGTGGACAAACAGAGGCTCTGATTACAGTGGTCTCATGATCCCGGGAGTTCGAGTTGGCTGCTACCGCCAAGTCACGTTGATCACCATGAGCAATAAACTCTTGCCTCGACCTTTAAGCAGTAAGCACCGAAAACGCAGGCAGAAAATGTCAGAGAACCTTCACAATTACATTGTACACCATTGCAGTATGCGTATAAATTATTACTTGGTAAAGGCAGATGCTAACACCGTACAGGCAAGGAATTACGTGTAAACAAAGAAAACAAAACCAGAGCAACTGCTCGCTCGCTGGGATATCGACATTAGTTCATAAGGGGAGTGAGGTTCGAGCAAAGTTGCTAGCAAATCATCCTAATACTGTTTCCGACAGTCCGACCTATGCACACCGCCGAACAGCGGTATCTCGCTCATGCAAGCTATTTCCGTCTGGCAAAAGTATGGTACCGGTCGAACGATCCTCGTAGGTAACGCGATCGCGTTTAGACGTGCGAGCCGCGACTGCATTCCCGTTAGCCCAATCCCCACAGAACACTAGAACAAAACTTACGCAGCAGCCTTGCGGTTAAGACGGTGCACCGTCAAGATACCAAGCACACCAGTCGCGAACCAGAGGATCATGGACAAGAAAGAGAAAGCCTGAGCAGCCTGCCATTGACCACAAGAGTTGTCGCGACGGAAAGACACGCCGCCCCAAGCCCACGCGCTACCACATCCAGAGCCGTTGAACCAGCTGACGAGGAGACCGAAGACGGCAGCCCAGCCGGCGGTGAAGACTAAACGAGAGTTGTTAGTACATATCCAAGGCAAGAGAGGAAGTTTGGGAAACTCACTGAAGTCGGATGTGTAGCCAGTGATGCTAGAGCTTGTGGGGATGGCCCAGATGACAGCGAAGAGGATGGAGAGCGAAGACCAGATCACCGAGAAGATCAAGCGGCCTAGAGGCCCCTGGTCGTATCGAGAACGTTGGTAGAGGAAGTACGCTGTGAGACCGAGGACGATGGCTGCGAAGACCCATTGCGCTGTGCGCAGGATGATCGAGAGGAGACGTGTGAAGAGCATGTTGGCAGTAAGTGTGGGTATCGGAAGTCGCGGTCAAGATATCAAGTGTGATGCTGGTAAGAAGCAGTACTCAGAATGTTATGAAGCTGTGGATATGGAATGTAATGACTTCAAGCTGCCAGTATATATACACCCGGCACCTACGACTGTGCCTTGCTTGGTCAAGAGACATGACAGCAAACGTCAGCCACGACCATTGCGTAGCTAGCCTTGGCATCCAAGAACATCCACGGTCACACTCCTGGGGTTTGGCACCCCTGGGCCTTGTCAGTCACGCATGTTTTCCTGTCTCCAAAGACAGTGTGGCTAGTGCTGTGCAGGCCGCATAGCCGTGCAGATCACTGGTTTCTTAGCGCATTCGCTTGGGTATGAGATCATCAATCCCTGCCAGGACGCGTGGCGCAAACAAGTGGCGCAGCAATTTCCACACGGTGGACTATGAAAGGCAGGAACGTCGCATAGTGATTGCCGATATCCGCAATGTTTTGGATTTTTCTTGACTGCTGAAATCTTGCCCCAGTGAACCGGTGATGATGAGGATGATGCGTTGGCCTGAGCGCGTTGGAGCGACAGCAGGTTTCTTTGAACGAGCAAAGGACCGACCTGGATGGAGGGCTTTGACGTGCGACGTGGCTATGTGCTTTTTCGGGTGTCGGTTTTGCAGCAGTCACTCCTACCTTGTCCGCTACATCGTGAAGGCCCGAACAGACGACGCCAAGTCCTCTCCGCAGCAGCAACGTAATCATCCGCTATCTCGGGAACAGCCGTGAACTTAAAACCAGTCACCGCTCGTTTTGTAAGGCCAGAACAAAGGATATCCTGGACACTGAGTAGTCTCTCCAGTCGTTGTCCTTCAACTAGTGGGCCGTTGTGTAGGGCTGCGCTGGCACCAAGCCACCGAATTACGTAGGGCGTGTGCATCGTCTCTTTAAGAGTCACCGATCTAATAGCCTTCTTACTATGGGACTGAACTGTAAAACCTGTATTTCGGCTATGCTTCACAAAGAAATTCGATGTCCATGTTTTTGTTGAGAACGGATGCTTACTGGCAAGTAGTCACTCGTAGCACCCATTCGAAACTGCGTAACGCAGGAATGCCGTAGATACGCATATGAGGATACGATACCAAATGCAAAGGAGCCTGATGAATATTCTTTGCTAGTCCAAGAGGAAGATTGGTTGCTTGCGATGCTGAACCAGAAGTAGTACCGTGAGACGGATACCTAGGTATTTGGTTAGCATAACTCCCACATCTCTCTATCAAAACGAGTACGTGTTAGCATCGTGCGTTGGTTTATGTGCGAGTTCGTAAGCTGAGTTCTTACAACAGTGATGAGTCTTCCTTCTTCGCTCTTCACTGAACGTCGGTAGAGATTCGTAATCCACATGTGACATCCCAATACAGTAGTTTCCAGGCCCCAAAATAACCCAAATCCGCTCTTCATCTGACTTAAATCTTCCCAAATACCCTTAGATAGGCAAAATGGTTTCAGCTGACATCTATCCCAAAATACATCCGTGCTACTGCAGGTCCAGCCAATGAGCTAGCTCGGCTCGACAGCTACGCGGAAATACCTAATCGGGTGAATGCGCTGACATGACGGCTCAGTCAGCCCTACAAGCGGTTGTCGCGCTTGTTTGAAGAGTGCAGGAGTGCAAGATCGGTATGATTTGAAGTCCTATTTTTGGGGGGCTGTGTAGGTGGAAGCGAATCTGTAAATATTCTTGTATTCAAGAATCACGCCGAGTAAACATGTTGCGAGGTGGGCGCGTAGAGCTTCGTGTCGGCCATGTATGCGTCTTCATGTGAGAGAGGAAGGTCGGCGATATGTGCAATGTTGGTGCGGGTGTGTTGTATAGCCCTCTGTCGCCAATACTGCCAGTGTCGTCCTCCGATGTAACCTCACATGTTTCCGAGGCGTCCGCCAATCGTCTGGCTCGTTAATCGATAGCGATAAAGCACGCGTGCTGTACGATTGAGTATGCCTGCCATTCAGCCTTGTGCTTCGGTAAATCGCATTCATCGGCATCGGTGATCCATTCATCACCGGCACCCATTGCGCTGGGTACCGATCGTAATCGGAATCCATAGATAGTGCCAGGGGTTTGCGCTGCCGCTTTGCATCATACCTTCTTATCCACGTTGCCGGAATGCCGTGACGCATGCTCGCTCGTTTACATCCTTCCTGCTTCCGTCACGCGAGTGTGGCGCTTCTCCCGATGCCGAGTGGAACGGGAAGCCGAAAGAACGTGAGCGTCTATGCAAGTTGTATTGGCCAAGTCTTACATTTGTTGCTTTCAAACGGTATGGAATCTGTCCTGATAGGACGTACCAGTATACGGATAAGGCTGATTGAGGCTTGGTCAAGCTTCTGGACGTCTTCGGGCATGTCGCTGTCCGAATGCTGAGTTGATATGATTTGCAGTGTATACTGTCTGTGCGGGAGAAGAGTGAAGGTTGACGGAAATTCGGATCAGCCAGTCGCGATAACAACCAAGAAGGAACTAGTCGCATGGCCGCCGCTCACTCGTTGCTTCACAGCCCTGCACCAACCCTCGTCTTCAGCCCACGTACCGCATTGCGCGAACTCTGTTCCTGCATCGACGTATACCATCTCGGAGGCGTTTCCGACCAAGTTGGTGTGTGGCAGCGGCAGCTAAACCACTCCAAGGCTCAACAACTGCGTGTTATCGCAACAAGGGCCTTGGAGTGCATCCAGCTGGACCTTGTGCGCTGAAAGTAGGGGTACCGGAAGACTCATACTCTGTCATGATCGGGCTGCACACGTCGGCGACTGCCGCGTACACAATGCTCCAAACCTAGCATCATTTCCAGCTTCCAGGCACCAACGGTCGGGCATGGGTGTAGAGTTCCCCCGCGCGACGTAGCAGGCATATGGGCGGGTAAGGCTCAAACGCACTGCCCTGCACTGTATCCCCCGGTGGGCTCGAAACAGCATCTTGGCCACCTGAGCAGCCCTATTCGCTGCTTCAGACGACCCAAGCCCACGGGGCGGCCTCCAAATGTGGAACAGCAGGTTGCAACGCTGCCCAGAAGGAGTTTGCGCTCGCACATGGCTTGCAGGCATTCGTGTTACACGCCCAGCATTGCCCTCACTGGCGGTCCACGGAAAATGGCCCCGTCCAAGCGAGATGCAGCACAGCAATCGTCGGGGGATCGCGATGGATGAGTAACAGTGTGACGAGCACGATAATTGACTCGAAACTGCAAGTCGCCCGAATGCGCGACCGACGGGAAACGATGAATTGCCTCGAAGAGGTTCTTGCGACCTGGTGTGAGTGCACTGCGTAGGTACGCAGTCTGGCGTAGGGAAAGATGCTTGTCGGTGATGATGTTGTATGACTGTGTCGTGCGTTACAGCAGCAGGCCAATGGCAAAACGACCCGCGCTTGTCGAGAAAGTACCTTGGCGTGTGCTGCAAGCATCCAGATTGTACCTAACGGCGTGGGGTGGTGTTGGTGGTGGTGGTGGTGGTGAAGAAGAAGACACATGTATCCTGATGGAAGGGGTGTATAAGCTAGGCAGACATGCGTCGTCAATGCCGAAACACACCTTCTTCGTCATAGCACGATGCACGAGGACTGAAATTCCCTCTGCTTTGCAATCGCATTCCCATAAAGTCACCAATGAACACTTATGTCGCACAGTTTCCGCATGGTTCCATGTAATCAGCAGCAGGGATGCCATCAGCCGCGCACGCTGCTGCACGCCCATCTTATCCACCTGGCGCGTGCGCTGCATTGCGGCTCCAGTTTCCCACCCGCGAGCACAGGTCCCCCTCTCACTGCCACGCACCCACTCACAGACCCTGAAACTTATTCCTGTCTACCCAAGCAGACGGCTTCGCGTGCTGCGCAGTCGTCCGGCGAGTAAGAGGAAATGATGACTAGATGCCTTGTTCGTGGCTTGAACCAGGGTCCGTCCGCCACCAGTTCCCGCCGTTCTGGTTGGTGGTGTAGGGGGGAACAGGTAGGTGAACTGTGCGGTATAAAGACGGTTTGGATGCCTGGACCATGGGAAAGCAGGCAAGCAGAGCAAGTAACAGTTTCCGATCCGTCCCAGTCACCATACCCGAGCGCCCTTTTCTTCCCTCGTCCTTTCCTAGTCCGCTTTCCTGCATTTTCTGGTGTCTTTGTCGGCCTCTTGTTTCATATAAGTCGAGTCGCTTCTTCCCTTTGAGTCAAAAGTTTCACTCATTCAGCATCCTTCCACACCATCTTCTTCCGTCTTCGACTATTGTTCCATTGTTTCATCCGCGTCTTCCTTCTATATACCCCACGCACAGTGTCTTCGTCAGGAACAGCATTGTTTCACTCCGAGACTACACATCTACCACTACACCATTTTCAAGACACTACCCGATGGGTCGCGGCGGTTACAACTAAGGCCTCTGCATTCATCCCAACACCAAAGACCTGGCTCTTTGTTCATCAAGTCCGCACGTCGACCAACTTCAAAGTCGAACAAACAAACATATCAATCACAATGTCACCACCAAACACTCAGGAAGAATCGGCCAACATGGGTCGCGGAGGCTACAACTAAGCACAACGGCTGCTCCCGCAATCCCGCAATCCGAAACATCCATCAGCACCATTGCGGCGTGGTTCACCATGGCTACGCCTCACACCATCACACTCCACTTCCCGCCACTTCCCGTCACCCGAACACTCCGCAAGAGACGCCTCGAACGATGGAGGCCGTCTCTGACTTCTTAGGCCTCGGCCATCTACTTCTTCCTTCAGCTTCATATCTCTTTCGTCTCTGTATCATCACACATTCTTATCTTGTATCAACATCTCCTCTTTCTTTCCTTTATCTTCATCTTCATCTTCATCCTCATTTTCTTGTTTTGAATCGGCATTAGCGAGCGTTGGAGTCTTTGGACCTGGACACAGGCTATGAACTATGGGTTACGGAATCATGGAAATTGTATGTCACGGCATTTTGAGGCGTTTGGAAAGGCTGGGATAAGCTCTTCATTGAGCGATGGGTAACGGACCTGGGTACTGTTCTAGACACGGAGTTATTCGGCGTTGGGCGTACTGTTTTCGAGTTTGCTTTGGGTTTCTCTGCTTTTCTCCTCAATCAAGATCTCCTTTTCCCCGATACCACTGTTTACGGCGTTTTTGCATTTTAAATGACCAGCAGGTCTGGTAGTAGAGCTTCATCACTTCTGCTTGACTAGAATAGACAATTGATACCTTGACGGTATCCTCTTCCCACATTATAGATCGTCCTTGCAAACTGTGATTTGAAGCACCGCCAGTACCGCGACTTCGTTCGCTATTTTCCAACACAGAATCTGTAAGAAGGTTGACGTCAGCAAACGTTCGTCACGTGTTCTTTCGTGGCCGCAGCTGAGCGTAAGCCGGCAAGCATCATGGGGAAAGAGTTCGGTTATCCAGACGCCCTATGCAGCAATCGATACTGCACAGACACATTCTGCTATTACCATTGTGGCTTTCCCCAGCAACGCCCGCTTGGCCCCCTCTCGGATGCAACCGTCTGACTCAAATGGGGGCCAAAGTGTAGAACGCCTTGCCAAAGATTCCAGAACGTTACACGACATGAGGGCACGAGATACAGGCTAGAGTCACTTACTTTTCGAAAACGACCCCCAACACTTCTTCCACATCGCCGCTGTCACCCCGGCCTGTGATGCGGGCCAATGCGTCGGCGGCGGAGCGAAGGCACTCTGCAGCGACCACAATATCGACCTCGTCGGCCTCGCCTGGTAGTTCCTCACCGGTTCTGGTTGTATCGGCCGAGGGCTCGGTTACGGTTGTGAGGAAGGCGGAAAGGTGGCTGAGACATTCGGAGAGAAGAAGACGTTGACGCTCGGTTGCGCCTAATGACTCCTGCCAAATGCTTGGATCGGGATCCGAGTCAGGAACTAACGCGGCTGTCATAGACTTGAAGGTATCCTGCAAGATGGTGAGAAATTCTGGGATGTTGTCGCTTTTCGGATAAGGTATCGACCCTGTGAGCGGCTTGCAAGTAATGAAGCATAGGCGGTCTTTCGGGATGCCCAGCGCGGAGTGGATCTTTTCTTCCCATTTCTCCCGCGAGATATCGAACGTGTAAAGTTGATCGCGCTTGTTGAGAGCAACGATGACCTCGATGCCGACATCAGCACACTGCTTTGCCGTGGCCATAACCTCAGGATCCATCTCGGCTGTGGCGTCTTGAACGACAATCAGCACGTCTGACTCGAGTGCCCGTTGCTTCGCGCGCTTGATGCCTTCTTGTTCAACAGCCCCAACGACGGTCGCACCTGCGACACCAGCCTGGCGAAGGCCGGCCATGTCTCCAATCTTGACAAGCCACCCGCCCAGATCCAATCCTATCTCAACCACGTCGCGCGTTGTGCCAGCTTCCTCAGAGACGATGGCGGCATCTCTTCCAACAATGCGATTCAGCAGACTGCTCTTGCCTGCGTTGGGTGCACCGAGAAGCGCAACGCTAATGCCATTGCGCAGCATCTCTCCACGAACGGCATTGGCAACGTGCGCCTCCATCTGCACCTGCAAGGCACGGACTTGAGATGCGACGGAGGCACACAGGACAGCCGGTGATTCGTCAAAGTGTTGGTCTTCGGAGAAATCGATCAAGGCCTCCAATTCGCCCCGGGCCTGCAGCAACAGCATACGCCAGTGCTCGTAACGTGTTGCCAGTGAGGAGGTCGTCCCCTTTACTGAAATCTTGCGTTGCTGTTCAGTCGAAGCAGACAGTGTCTCTCCTAGCGACTCGATCTGGGGAAGATCCATGCGGTTGTTGGCGAAAGCGCGCCGTGTGAACTCTCCAGGCTCAGCATAGCGGATCTCCTTGCGCTTCGACTTGCGAATTTCTGGTATGTTCGCGCATTCAGGTATGGCTGACAGTACTGCGCGTACAATAGCTGGACCGCCATGCACGTGCAGTTCGAGCACGTCTTCTCCGGTCACGGTATTGGGCGCGGGAAAGTAGAGTACGAGGGCGCCAGAGTCGAGTATCGTTGCGGGCGAAGGGGGCACATGCGGGGTATATAGCTTGCGTAGGGTTACCTGGCGAGGCTTAGGAAATGCTGTAGAGGGACATAGCCCTTCGTATATCTACAAAACGTAAGGAAGGGAATCGATCATGGGTTGGGGGATACAGACCTGCCTACATGCCGGACCCGAGGCACGAATGACAGCTATTGCTGCCCTTCCACTAGCAGTAGAAAGCGCATATATCGTGGGTTCATTGCTATCTGTATGGTACAGACGCGGCCGGGACGTCGTCAAGGCGCGCTGCACATGGAGCTGGAGGGGTTCATGGTGGAGCGATGCGATTCGAGCGATACGGGTCGGATGGAGTACGGCGCGGATTGGAGAACAAGGCGCTCTCAATTGATTAGAAGGATTGCGACGGAGAGATGAGACGACAGCTCTCATTCCGCTAGTTGAGGTTTACATTGTTGTTGCACCTGGAATTGATGGTGGCTCCGCTGCACCTCCGCAATGGCCCGTGCACGCGCTAAGATAATAATTTCTTGAGATCGTCGCATGTCTACCTTCTCACTACAACACCTGTTCCCTTCGCGCCAGAACGTCGCCACGATAACCCGAAGGACCCTCTGTTCGCCGGTCGCTGCGTTGAAACACCGTCATTAAAGCGCTCCTATCCCCGTATTCACAAGAGTCCGACGAAGGACTTGATTGCCGCCATGGCTTCGGACGATCTTGTATGGTCCGTCATTGGCACCGACTTCTGCAGCTTCAGTGTGTGAACCTCTGTATATATGCATATAAGACAATGCTGACATTATCTACTCAGAACTCAAAACCACAAAAGACCAAACTTTCTGCAGAAACGAACACAACGTATCAGGTTACTGCTCCAAGCAGTCGTGCCCGCTCGCCAACTCACGCTATGCCACGATTCGCTCAGATCCCGCGACCGGCGACTTGTACTTATACATCAAAGCCATCGAACGCGCACATCTTCCGTCGCAATGGTGGGAAAAGATAAAGCTTCCCAAGAACTATGGCCAAGCGCTGGAGATGGTCGACCAGCACCTCGCATACTTTCCCAAGTTTCTCAAGCACAAGAACAAGCAGCGCTTGACTCGTCTTACTCAAGTCAACATAAGGATACGGAAACTGGCCAAGGAAGAAGAGCGCCTAGGAGAGCGCCTAGTTCCTAGACTGGCACCCAAGGTCCGCCGACGAGAGGAAGGCCGTGAGCGTAAAGCTCTCGCAGCCGCCAAGGTCGAGCGCGCCATCGAGCGAGTGCTCATCGACCGTCTGCGCAGTGGCGCATACGGTGATCGACCGTACGTTCATCCCCCTCTCCCTACTGCTGCCATGATTATTCGCTTTTTAACCCTGAGATCCTTCGATGAGGATCAAAAACAACAACAACACTCTAATTTTTTAATGAGCACCGTCACACTGTCAAGCATTTACTCGGTTCGTGTTTGAGTTTGAGGCTAACTGCAAGACAGGATCAACGTTGAGCCAAATGTCTGGAAGCGTGTCATGCGCGGCCTGCAGAAAGAGGGCCAGCTCAAGGGCGACGAAGATCTGGACGAAGGTATCGAGGAGGAAGACGAGAACGAATACGAACACGAGATGGAGAACGGTGTCGGTGAAGTCGAATACGTCAGCGACATTGAGGGTGAATCCGACGATGAGATGGAGGACTTTGAGGACTGGATAGGTGGACAGAGTCCTGATGAAGGCTCAGGTGACGAAGACGACGAGAGCGGTAGCGGTAGCGAAGAAGACGAGGAGGATGAGTCTGCAGATGAGGACACAGAGGCTCTCAAGAAGACGCTGGCAAATCTCAAGCGCAAGCGCCCTGCTGGTCCGCCACCCAAGCCCAAGAAGAAGCCATCGAAGGATTCAAAGGGGCCCAGACGCGAGATCGAATACGAGATGGAGAGAGAGCCCGCGGCGAGAGAAGCCATGCGCGTATGATACCTCTAGCATTGTCACACTATTGGCGTTCAGCGATGGGATGTGGAGTTCACGTCTTAATGACCCAGGAAAAGCATTTCGTCATCGCGCCAGAGGCGCATGCTGCAGCGATGCTCTGTTTGATACCATCTCTTCACACAATGCCTCAATCCTTTATATATTCACTCTGGAACGTCATGAGCTACGACACGTTTAGTATTCACAATGGTCAGCAAAGTGAATGAATATCACAACACCCAAGCAGGCGCTTCCTCCCCGTTTCGAAGAATCGAAACCTCCAATCAATCAACCATATAACCCATACAAATACCATATCGTCAAATCAAGTCGATTCTTCAATGGGCATTTCGCGAAATCTGGACGCGGCGAATGAAGCTGAATCTGTCCAGAACGCCTGGGAAGATGGTTGCGCACTTGCCGGTCCCAGGATAAGTCCGTCTTCTGTTTCAGGGACAGTCCTGCCCCCAACGAATGAATCTCCTCATCGGCCAGGTACTCCCCAGTCCAAGCCGACTAAGCTAAACGACGAAGACTTCGGCGACTTTGTAACAGCGTCCACTGATCCTTTGAAGCGACCCATCTACGATACAACTGAGAATGAGGGCGAAACACAGGGGCTCTTGAACTCTTTCTCCGCGCCTGTATGGGAGGCTGATACTTATATCGGCAAGGGCCTTGTCGAGCCTGTCATCGCTGGCATAGGTATGTTCAAACGAACGGTTTTACCGGCAAGGAATCTGGCTACCTGGAAACTGAACAAAAGCCGAGCGCAGGTGATTATGGAAGAACACAAGAAGAGGCGACTGCAAAAGCCTGTCATCTCTGCGACTCCTACACCTGCTCCATCTCCTACCAAGAAGGGCGCAACGGGGGTCGCTACTAGTTCATTCGGGGCTGAATACAACCAGTATCTAGATACGCACAGTGAAAGTATTTCAGTGTCGGACCTGAACGGGGTGATGCGACCAGTGAGTTTCACAGAGCCGATCGATGCGTTGATGGAGACGGAGCGTAGGGCTTGGGGGCCTTAAGTATGGAAGCACTGGCCAGACCACTTCATAGATATAACAACTAGTCATCCCAGGTAAATAATGGACCTTAAATGACTCTGAACACCTTCGTATCGAAGTATGCATGTGCGTTCGAATCCGGAATTGCTTGCATCATCGCACCAGTTAGACGCGTGTGAAAGGGATGCAGATTGCCATGCTAGCGGCATCTGATAGAAAACGCAACGGGTGTTGAAACAAGATCGAGATGTCGCATGGGTACTCGCGGTGAACATTACTCCAAAAATGCAGTGGGCCACCTGGGCAGCATGGAAAGGACTCACGTGCAAGTTTTAGTACACCCACAGTGCAACTCCAACAGCGCGTTCTCCACAAAGAAGCCTCCCCCAAGCCATCGGCTCCACAGCCTTAATCCGAACCGAAAAAAAACTTGGTGCTGTCGCGTGGTTGACGCACCCTGTCCCTGATGATCGTAAATCCCGCAAGCTGGATACTTCAACCGGCACACCTACCGTAGAACCAAACACCTCCCCGAAGCCTTGGGTTTGACAACACCCGTCCCTTCGAAACGAGGACATTTTTAGGCATTTCCCAGGTTATTCCCACAAGTGCTGACGTGCGGGACTACGCTTTTTGGCAAGCCGCCCAAGCAATTTCTTAGACGAGCCGAAGCATCGGACTAGGCCGGAGCTTTTGGCGCCTTCGCGATGCTTAGCCACCAAGCACCAAAGCGGCGCGAAACACCGTCTTGGTGTGCCCGTGTCGCGAACTTTCACCCTGTTAGCGACATCATAATGCGCCGGGAGTACCTATTGCGGCAATTCCGGTGGGCGACTGCGAGCTGACTGGTGAAGTGCGACGAATCACACAGGGCGACCCTGGCATCCCCGTGCGATCGGGTAGTGTGTCTTTCTCCGCACGCCAAACTCCACGGGGTTGGGATCACCAGCGGCTCCAGACCAAACGTCATCGTCGAGAGCAAACTGTGGGGATGACGCCGGTAGACAGGGCGGTTCGGCGTTATTGCTGGGTTGGCGGCGTGAGGACGGACTCTACTGTTACATTGGTCGCAGAGAGTCGCGGTTGCCCTTTCACATTTTCTTAAGAGAGGGTCGTCGCGCCTGCTGTCGTACCTCATCATCGCACTTCGCACGATCTGGAAGCGAGCTGGCCTCTTGTGTTGTTTTGTTGCGACGCTTTTCTTACTTTGTTGTTTGGCACAACACATATTGATCGTTGGTATTACTAAACAAGATGGGCAAGTTCTATGGCCTCAAGGGCACTAAGCTCAACATTGCTATTGCTGTGATAGCAGGCACGGATTTCGCGCTCTTTGGTTATGGTAAGAACACAAGCCATCATGCAAGACATCGCCTCTAACACTGCATAGATCAAGGTGTAATGGGCGGTTTGCTCACGCTGGGCTCTTTTATCAAATACTTTCCCGAAATCGACAGCAACAACCCACCCCCAGGGAGCTCGAAAAGCCATGCCGCCACTATCCAAGCCATCACAGGTAAGCTCGCTCAGCATCTAAACCCAACGTCGCTAATGTCCGTCTAGTCGGTGCCTACACACTGGGCTGCTTCTTCGGCGCCGTAGCAACCATCTGGCTCGGAAACATGCTCGGACGCAAGAAGACCATCTTCATCGGCAGTGCTATCATGATAGTCGGAGCCATCCTCCAAACAGCATCGTACGGTCTCGCTCAGCTCATCATCGGACGTTGGATCACCGGTTTCGGCAACGGCATGAACACAAGTACAGTCCCAACATGGCAGTCCGAGACGTCGAAACCACATCGCAGAGGGCAGATGGTCATGATTGAAGGCTCAATGATTGTCTTCGGTGTCATGCTTAGCTACTGGCTCGATCTCGGTTTCTCCTTCCTTGAACCCAGCAGCATCGCCTGGCGCTTCCCCATCGCTTTCCAGATCATCTTGGCCCTATTCATTCTCGTTATGATTCCTGGTCTTCCCGAGAGTCCGCGTTGGCTGGTACTTAAGGGGCGCGAGGAAGAGGCTCTGGAAGTTTTGGCCGCGTTGAGCGACCTTCCTATTGACGACAAGAAGGTCGAGGCGGAGTTCCAGGCTGTGAAGGATGTAACTGAGGAGATGTCGCGCGGTGGCTTCCGAGACTGCTTCAAGAGGAACAAGAACCGCAACTTCCACCGCACTGTGTTGGCGTATGTCAACCAGATGTTCCAACAGGTAAGTTTCGCTATCACTACAGGGCAAGAGACAGTAACTAACAATACTCCAGATCTCTGGAATCAACCTTGTTACTTACTATGCTGCCACCATTTTCGAAAACTCCATCGGTCTCTCGCCCTTCCTCAGTCGCCTTCTATCCGCCTGCAACGGCACCGAATACTGGATGGCAAGTTGGATCGCCATCTTCACAATCGAGAAGTTCGGACGCCGCTCTTTGATGATGTTCGGTGCGGCTGGCATGTCCATGTCCATGGCCGTGCTAGCAGGCGCAACCAGCAACATCGGCAATACGAGCCTGGGTCTTCTCGCCACCGTCTTCCTCTTCGTATTCAACTCCTTCTTCGCCATCGGCTGGCTAGGCATGACATGGTTGTACCCCGCAGAAATCACACCACTATCCATCCGCGCGCCCGCCAACGCTATTTCCACCACAGCCAACTGGATCTTCAACTTCCTCGTCGTAATGATCACACCCCCTGCTTTCGCAAACATCGGCTACCAGACCTACATCATCTTCGCCGTTATCAACGCCGCAATGGTACCCTCGGTATATTTCTTCTTCCCCGAAACCGCATACCGGTCTCTCGAGGAAATGGATGAGATCTTCCACGCGGCAAGCGGTCCGTTTGATGTCGTTGGTATTGCGCACAACTTGCCGCATCGCTATGGAAAGAAGGGCGAGCTGCTGGTTGACTATGCGGATACGGAACAGGCGCACGAGGCGGAGCGGAGACGGAGCTCGGTTGTGGCCACGCAGTCGAATGGGGGTGTGTTGGCGAAGGACAATGAGAAGGAGCTTAGGGAGCATGTTGATAATGCGGGGAAGTAGATGGTGGCTGATGGGTTGACGATGATGAATACATTGTATTCTTCGAATGTGACTGTTCTGTCCAGATGTGTGCAGTTGTCTTCTTGACGTGACACTCATATTTGCTAAGTGAATCACCTCCTTTTTTTTGTTCTAGGCATGAACGTATTTGCGTCCTCCATTTCGTGTGCCTAATAGACTGATAGATAACGTTTGGTGTAAGCAAACGTCTCTCGCACCATTTTCTCAACTTCTCATTCCATCCCGATCGTTGGCCTGGCCCTCATCTTTCCCATCATACTTCACCCTTCTCGGCTCCTTCTCCAGCCCATCCCACATTTCCTTACTATAATACCCAAAGCAAACATCGCAGTTCCCACACTTGCCACAGCCTTTGGGCTCCCTACGACCCGTATACACATTGAAGACCCAATTTGCTGGTCTCTCACCCCACGGACCGCTCTTGAGGTCGTACTTATCCGGCGCCTCAGGAAACTGAATCTGATGGCGCGGCTTGGTGCGATTCGTAAGCGTATGCAGATCCCTGCCCCTCTTCCTCGCTACTTCAATCGCGCGACGGAACCAGACCTTGCTCTTTTCGTTCGGTGAGGGTTCTCCTCCGCGCCCAGGACTAAAAGTAGTTATGGGCCCACTGCTTTTCTCCACGTTCTCCAGATACACAGCTTTTGGCGCTACGATTTCTGGCCCTGGGACTCCGAACAGAGACTGTATATTATACTTGCGATTTCTCTCATTCGTGGGAGTATCTTTTCCTCTAGGTCGTCCTCCGATCAGAGAAATGATGGCATCTTCGAAGCCTTGTTCCTCGTTCGGTTCCCATTTGATGTAAGATTCGCTGAGCGATCCCCACAGAACTAGGGCTTCGTAATTCCATACACTCTCCAGGAAGCAGCGTTCCAAATACGCTCCATCGCTCTCCCACTCTTCTGCGCTGTCGTCTCTGTTGTAGTAGGCCTCGAGCTCAATGTCTTGGATGTCCATGCAGAGGTGCTTTAATTTCCCCATGTTGTTGAGTTCTTCTGGGCGGAAGGCTGCGCAGCGATAGCCGTGAATATTATGAGGATTGTCATGATAGTCATAGAACATCAGACTTTCCAGGGTATTCCCTTGGTACGTGCCGAGATTGCGAACGAGTTCGTCCGCGTCTTCGAGTCGAGGAGCATCGCCGGCGCGGAATGAGGCTGTGATGAGTCCTGATGGGACGGCAGTAAGAGCAGTGAGGAACTCTTGCCCAAATTCCCCACAACTGTCCAAGAAGAGATGTTTGACAGGGGAGGTTCCAGCAGGTAGAAGATTCTTCCACGGCGTCTCGTCTTGGAAATCACCTACGCAATTTCTAAAGTAAATCTTTTCGAGGCTTGGGAGGCGGAGGAACTGGACAAGAAATCCCGTGTTGCAAGGCCAAGTATTGGGATGGTAGGCCGAATCCATCCAAGTTCCGGTGGGCAGACCAACAGCGACTGAACGAAGATTTTGGAGGCCGGGTCCCCAAGAAGTTTTCTTGTTGTGAGAGTCGTTGATAAAAATTTGAAGCCAGTCGAGACATGACCTCGATACCGTCCCATCGCGCGCCGTCATGACGAACTTGACGTCTCGAAGCCTAGGACAATTTGCAACGAGGAGAGCCTTCAGGTAAATGTCATAGCCATCGATAATCTGTGTACGTGCCTCCTCAGCGCGTGCACCGGGGATAAGATCACTCTGTGCTTGATCTAATGGCTCCATATAGTCGTCGATTTCACCAGGTATGAACTCCCAGGTTGTTGGCGACCGTGAGCTCTGATCGATCGGAACATCGAAGTCAAGCGTCTTCCATGCATCCCATCCTGTGCGATCATACCAAACCTCCAGACTTCGAACGTGCCAGGCTGGGATTGGGTCACCATATCCGAAAGCGCTTCGGAGGAGTGTGGGAACAGTTGTTGGGTCAATATCAGACGAGACACAATAATTTGTATGAGCGTCGCGATGGCGTTTGAGAACGTCTGCAGAGCATGCGAATAAATGCTTGCAGGTATATGCGAAGTCGATCTGAGATGCGGGAGGTATGTAGTCGATGATATGATGAACGAGTTCAGTCGCAAGATTTGTGATGATGCACGAGCTGTCGGTATTGACTGCAGAAACGTCGCTTAAGTCAGATGGGTGGGAAGGCAAAGAGGCGGTGAAGCTGAAATTGAAAAGGGCTCCTTTCCATTCATCCATGTTGTGTTTTGGGGAACTATGAAGCGGACGCCTGATTGAGAGGATTAACCGACTTTATACTTATCGTGAGAAGCCAATTCAAAGCATGAGACTTTGTCTCGGCGTGGTGCAAGCGGTTTGGTGTTTTAGGCATCCTTCTGCTGCCTTCGGCTAATAGAGTGCCAGTTTTGCCGACGCTTCCATCTCCAATTGTAGCCCGTACACGAGTAGCACAACCAATTATGCGCATTTCTGGAGACAGTCGAGAGTTGTGGTCAATCTGGCTCGGACGTCGACGTGTCAACGTGTAGCGCACGCCACCACAAGATGATATGTCTGGTACGATGGATGGTGGTGATGAGGTATGCGGTGTCGCGTGAGCAAAGGTATCTAGTTTGAGCCTCGTGAGGATGACATGAGCGCGAAGGTAGCTATGCGCTGTAGGAGCTGATAAAGTACTGCTGTGATGTCAGTCTGATGAGCGAGGGTGTGAAGAGTGCAACGTACTGTCAGGACCGACTCGTCGTCGCCATTATCGTTGGGTAGGTAAACATAGAGGATGAGTGCATGCTCATGACAGAAGCCTTGAAGATGTCAGCATGTTGGCAGATTTGAAGTTCGTACGACTTACAAGCGATAACTCGTCCCCCCAGCCTACCCACACTCATGACCTTACCCCAGTCACGCCCATCGATCCTCACTGTAGCCCAGCCTTCTTCACTACGCCCGTCCGCCGTGCCCAGCTGCTTCATACGCGTGCTTGGGTGTTCAGCTACGCCATCCTCTCCACCAGCGACGTGGCCAGGGTCGAGTTCTGGATTGCTAAGATCGGTCCAGATGGAGGATATGTTCATGGCGTCGGATCGGATCCTCATCCTCAGGCAGCCGTGCATGTTGGCGGCAACCTCTAGTCGTGTCCTTGATGCCGTCGTCGCGGTGCTTGCCTTGGTGTCTGCCAGCGCGAGCTTGGTGAACCTGTCGCTGATGCTCTTCAGCTGCATCAGAGGAGGCAGTATGATGTGTACGTCTGGCTCTCTACAGACGGGCTCATGCAGATGCGCTACAGTGTCTGGCGCAAGCACCCGCACGGGTATCTCCTGCGTGACAATGGTCTCGCGGTTTCCTCCACCGAATTCGTTGTCAAAGGCAGCGTCGAAGCCATCATCGTTGTTGGCTGTGGCCGCAGGGAAGGCGCTATACGTATTCGAGGAGGTCGTGGTGACGATGGTGAGGGCAAGCATGGGCAGGTTGTCCTTCTTGGTGAGGCGTATCTGGGCCGACGTGGCATTGAGGGCCGACTTGAGGGCGCGGTTCAGCGACGTGAGCGGAACTTCGAGGTTGATGACGTTGTTCGCTGCTGACTGCACGCTGATGGTCTCGAATATGGAGTCCTGCGCGGCGCATTAACATCGAGCCAGTCACAGATGAGATGGTATGCTTACAATAGAGAGGACACTGCATGCGGTTAGAACGAGAGACACCGAGGTATGAGGCGTCTACTCACGCCCATACTTGAGTGCCCTGCTCTGGTATGATGGTGAAGCATACTTGCTCCTCGCTGAGCTTCACCCACGCGAGCGGGCCGAGCGAATTGAGCGACGCCGTGAGCTCTGGATGAGGTTAGTCGCAGATTGAAGTATCGGCTTATGCACCTACTCGTAAAGGTATTAATGTTCTGTATCGACGCCTTGAAGCGCATCTTGCCGGTGTTGTCGCACGATGCAGGTGGGAAGTCGCGACGCGTCGAGAAATGTGGAGGGGAGGCCAAGCGAACGTCATCGCCTGCGCGTTACTCACCACATCATCACCAGTGGCCTTCACCAACTCTCCCGGTCATCGTCGCGCATTCAATCTGTCTTATTGCACGCGTTTTCCATATGTGAAATTTCGACGATACAGCGAGATAGCCCAAGCTTATCTATTCTCGACTAACTACGACGAGGCAGCGACTTCCCAAATCGTGTTCCGAACATGAGCAACACTATCGCAACCTTCTTTCTACGCCTGTCTCTGCACAGAAATACCAGTGTTCGATACCGTTGTCTTCGAGTACATCTAACCAGATATTAGTAGGGTCGGGTGGTACGCCATGTACAACTAACCTGTCCACTGGTTCCTTGTATCTCATATCGACCTGCGCCGGAGAGCGGGACATTCGCGCCGCTCTTAGTAGTTGCCGAAACTGCAGTAAACGATACTGTTCCAAAATTCGGTGTAGCTACAAGCTGGCCTGGGATCACCTGGTATGCCTGCACGAACCAGTTTGCCGCCAGCGCAGTCAGAGAGGACGGATCCACGCCATTCGGAGCTGCGAGTGTTTGTGTTGTCCTCTTGTTCTGCGTCTTGTTCTCAATCGTCACAGTACCCCCTGCAGTAGCCACGCTGACTGTCACGGTGATAGAATTACCGTTGGCAACAGGAACCGTCGAAGTGGTATCTGTCACCGGACCGGGGAAGTATGCAGAGAAGCTTCTGAGCGTACTGTTGTACACGATGCCACCACCGAGTACGTTCTCCTGTTCAAGTGTGTCCCCTATGCCGACCCAGATCGAGAGTCGGTTGCTACCCGATAAGTTCGGTACTGTGAACTGTATATGCAGTTAGTACTCATATCACATGCAGCACGAGAGTCACTCACAGTGCCTGTTACGCTGGCAAACGAGTCGCCTTGAGGCGCTTTGAGTACTGCACCCCCACGATTCAAGTCGAAGGCGGCAGATGCAGCTGACACCCAGCACGCGAGAATAGTACTGGTTTTCATGGTTGACTTTGATGTAACCAGTAAAGAGAAGAAATGCCGTGCGACAAGACGTCCAATGAGAAGAGATGCAAAAGCTTCCGGGTTTGAAGAGCGGAAGTGGTTGACGTTCCAGAAGGATATTTGAGATTCTGGAGTCTATACCTGACAGCACCACATGGACTATATTGCTTCCATGGGATCGTACCCGGTTGATAAGGGCTCGTTCCTTGCGATCAGATCCCACTCTCTTCAACAGCCTATTCTCTCGGCCCACTGCACGCTTCAACAATCCGATCAGCACGTGACTACAACCCTTTGGCCTCCGTCGCTATCCAGCTGGGCACCTTATGATCGGCCAATGACAAACGCGAAATTCTTTTGTACCATGCCAGCGTATCCGTACGAATGGCACGCGTTGATGAGGAACGGGGTTGGACAATATAAACAAATGGTAAGGATTGGTACCCCACAACTTGGCGCGACGGCAAAGTAGAATAGATTGAGGCTCACGCAACCTTGTCCCAACGTCCGCGAACATCATCCTATCCGAAAATCGGATCAGCCACTCACGGGTCTTTGGTGACCTGAGTTCTCGTTGTACAAGTGGGGCGTTATACGCTCCGCCGCTCACATGCGTGCAACTGCCGACGGCATGACAAGACTTCTAATACTTGTGGAATATGGAAGAGTAGCATCACTGGACTAACTCGGGCTCGAGGAATAGCTTTGCCAATCACAGCGGTGCTTTCGCCGACCGAAGACGGCCAGCTCAGCATCGTCATGAGATGGTGCTAAATGGCCAAGCCGACGATGAAGTATCTGTAACTCGATCAGCAGCACTGTGGATGCCATGAGCGCCCGATACGATAGGTCATGTTAATGTAAGTGGATGAAGAGCGGTTGACATCGTAATCCAGGAGCGTTGATGTGGAGGCTACCCACTCATGCGACGACATCGTGCATCCACGTTCATCTTTCGAGTCCCAAAGCGCATTAGCTATCATCCAGCGCAAGATGCTGCCTGTTGCTATCTTGACCAAGACCGAGTTTTGCCTCTGCGACACGACATACCCGCTCGGCATTACCACCCTTGATCCCGGCGGTGTTGCGTGCATGCTTCACACTGTTGTATAAAACACTGAACATCAAGCATACCTCTCACCGCCTCCATCTTCTCCTTTCAAGCAGGACATCACCAGCCTTGTAAAATGAAGGTTTTCAGTGCTACCGCCCTCGCACTTGTTGCACCCACAACGGCGCTTCTGCGCTTTCCATGCGCTCAGTTAGTCATCGACAGGCTAGACCCTCTGGTGACACCAGGCCAGGCTCCCTCGCCGCATTTACATCAAATTCTTGGAGGTAACTCCTTCAATGTCACCATGGATCCAGAGAAGGACATGCCGGGAGAGTCAACATGCACGTCGTGCCAGTTCAGCGAGGACTTCTCCGTATGTTGAACCAACCACCTGTCAACTGAACGACATTGCTAATGATTCTGCAGAACTACTGGACAGCCGTTCTATACTTCAAAGCCAGAAACGGTACATACAAGCGCGTTCCCCAGATCCCGAACTCGGGCTTCAACGGCGTAAACGGAGGCATGACAGTGTATTACATGCAAGACGGCCTCTACAACTTCCAGCAAACTTCCAAAGTCCAGGCTTTCCAACCCGGCTTCCGCATGTTCATCGGCGACGTCAACGCACGCACCAAAGACGAAGCAGAACGCTTCCGCCAGCTAACATTCACTTGCTTGGACACCATCAACACTCGTGACCCGCAGACTCTCGACTTCCCCACCCAGCCGTGTAAGACGGGTATCATGACTGCTGTTCGCTTTCCTACGTACGTACCCTCCCCCATCTCCTCTCAGGAATGGAGCATGGCAGTCTACTAACATACCCAGCTGCTGGGATGGTGTCAACTTGGACTCTCCAGACCATATGGCACACATGTCCTACCCAGAATACGGGTCTTTCGAATCCGGCGGCCCCTGCCCCGCGAGCCACCCCGTGCGCATGGGCCAGCTCTTCTACGAAGTCATTTGGGATACGAGCAAGTTCAACAACAAGGCTGATTGGCCTGAAGATGGCAGTCAGCCGTTTGTTTGGAGTTTCGGAGATGGGTGAGTCAAGAACTGTTGTACTAGATGGTGTTGTTGCTAATGAGTTTTTTCAGTACGGGTTATGCGAATCATGGCGATTACCTCTTCGGCTGGCAAGGCGACGCACTTCAACGCGCTCTTGACTCGCCTTGTTACCAGAACTGTCCCACGCTCAAGACGCAGGATGCTGCTGCGATGAACAAATGCACTGTTCCCCGTGTTGTCAAGGAAGAGATTGATGCATGGGTGAGTGAGTTGCCTGGTGGCCACCAAGCACAGTATGTCAAGAAGCGGTGGACTGAGTAGAAGTGCACTCATTCATAGTATCAACTCAAGATTAATTCGTATTGAGATAAAGAAATTATGACTACGGACTCTAGTAGCTACTGAGTAGGTAATGCTAAGTGAGATGCATCTTTGCATCTCATCTTGCTAGTAATACATGAGATGTTCTGAAAAGAAACTTTCTAATGATGGTATATGACTCCGGCCGAAATATGGCACTGCGGTTTGCGACGAAATGTTATGCGCAAGGAAAGACCGCTATCGAACAGAAAGGAAAATTTGCGTTGTTGCGCTGTTATCCACGTGCAAGCCACTCGCGGGAGCGTATGCGCGGGAGAGGTTTGTGAAGACTGCACTTCGCTGTCCCACGTATGCGGATCACGGTGATCTCGCTCGAGTCTGCTTCGCTTTGTAGTGCAGAGTCACCTGCATCGCCGTTCCGCACTCGTGGTGCTGGGCATGTGCATAGGACTCCCGCACTGTCGACGGCGTCTTCATCATCTTCCAGGTATATTGTGGGCGCGACGGAACTGCCTCCGTCTTCGCTTTTTTCTTCGAAGAGACCGATCTCTTTGTCCCAGATTTCGTGACTGCTTTGCCTCTTCAATCCTAGGCTCTTGACAATCTCTTCGAGCTCCGCTGCACTAATCCTGGCTCTTCCGCTCATCGCTTTTTCGAATTCGGCATCGGAGTCTTTGGGTGGGGAGTATGTAAAGCCGCTGAGTTGTGACCAGTCGCTCACTCTGCGCGTGCTGACGGTAGATACGGAGAAGCGCGAAGATGGTCCTGGTTTTGTGACCCTACGGGGGCTAGATCGGGTTGAGGGTGCTTCGATGTCGAAGTCAAGATTAGATTCGTCGTCGTGAAAGCGTGTTAGGCTGTTGTTATTATGACCGTGAGAGGGGAAGTATGCTGTGTCAGGGCGATAAATGACTGTTTGGCCAGAATAGCGGGAATTATAGGAGTTGTAGGAGTCATCCATCTCCGGTTCATAAGACTCGGAGTAGCTGGGAACGAGATCGTCGACATCGCCGTGAATGAGGTGAACGGTGCTGCCGGCGATGGGGCCAGAGATGGCGGCCACACGCGGGGCTTTGCGGGGTGTATCGAGGGGATCGCGGATCGCTCTACCAAGAGGCACCAAAGTACTGAGGTTGACGGCTATCATGGCAGCTAGAAATTCGATCATACCCCAGGTAGTGAAATTCAAGTCGAAGTTGTTGCGATGGCCAACCTGACCCCAAGAGGTGTATACCGTTCGGGTTCTGATGATGGCTACAGCGCATACACTGCAAATGTGTTAGCGGCTAATACTATAGGACCACCTTTGTGAACTATGAGAACATACAAGAGACCCAATAATAGAACTGCGAGGATGTGTAGCTTGGCCCCAAGATTAGAAGGAGTACCGATGGCGATGGGCAAAACGAAGACGACCATTAGCACGTTGGACGCTGTGTTGATCGCTAGACGAATGAGTCAGATCTGTTTGTTGGAGCCAAGAGTGTTATACTTACAGTAATTCGCCATGGCCCAAATCTCGGACTCACTTTGCGACATACATAATGCCGTATTATCGCGCGAGAGATCCCAGGCCGCCACGAGCGGCACACACTGAGCAAGAAGCGATGTGAACCATTCAATTGTGTGCCAGAACACGAGTACTAGGTCTGTCAGCTTTTGCTCCTGAAAGCTAGGTTGATTTAGACCTACGGATGAGGCAGATGAGAAGGAAAGTGCGTCCCATTTGTAGATACGACTGGCGTCTAGCACTCGTAAGAGGTAGGAGAGTGAAAGCAGCCGACAGCTTCACAAGACCAAGCCCAAAGATGATGAATGAGTTCAACGCCCACATCCACGGGCCCATTTGGACGGTCTTGCTGGCGGGTAAGACATAGTCGTCTCGTTGCTGTCCCAGACCGAGCTCTACGACTCCAGTGAACGTGATGAAGATTCCTATTGTGCATAACTATTCTGTGTCAGCAAATATGAGCCGTGTCATTGAAATGCACTGAACTTACAGCGGCCAGAACCATTAGTCCATCATCGATGCCGAAGGAGCGAAGGAGCTTTCCACGAGTGAAGGCTCTGAGAGAGTAAACCAACAGCGCGGTCAAGACCAGCGTAACGACAATGGCAAGATGAAGGGGCCCCTTGTCGTGGACTAGCCAGGGCAGCGGAGTTTCTGTTGTTGGGACTGCGCTGGCATCGACACCCATTGTGTGAACTGACGGTAGCAGTGTCCTGTTTGCTCCGTGTATTCATGCAGAGTTGTCGACCAGGCGAAGGTGAGGTGATTGAAACGATTGAATGTCTGATGAGAAGTACACGGGTGAAACGACTGTATGGCAGGAAGAAAGGACTGTGGTCGAGAGGAATAGAGGGGCACGGGATGTTTAGAGGAGAGCGTCTTGTACGACGAATTGGACATGGCGTTTCAGCCCGGGGTACCACCGCAGACACAGGCGCGTGGTTCACGGCTCCTCGCCGACGTCGCTATAGAGATAGCAAAGCTGCGCATGCACAGTGGGGAGCCAATCGAGTTGTCATGGTCTGCAAGGTACGCGAGCGGGGTGTTTTGTTTTCCCGTTGCGCCTTTGGATTAGTCCTCCACTGCAGGGCTTTTAGTGCC